GGAGCGCGCGGGGGGGGGGGGGGGGGGGGAGGGATTAAAGTGATTTAAAGGTGCAGCCTTTTTTTTTTTTTGCTCAACCAATCTTTCCCTGCCTGTTCGGGATTTTTTGTAAAGGTATCTGGCAACCCTAACACATTTCTCCTTTGAAATGTACAAGAGCCTTCAATGGGGCTCTTGTATATTTCAAAGTTCTGCGGGCAGCCCAGGACTAGTGGGAAGTCCCACTGACTCCGGGCTGCATGCAGCATGCCAGCGGGGAGAGGAGGGGGGGCTCTTGTGCATTTCAAAGGGGAAGTGCATGGATGGAGCCTGGGGTCAGTGGGGAGACTCAGAGAGTTCCATGTTGCACTGCCAATTTGAAATGCCACCAGAGCCCAGGATCAACTGGGGAGTCCCCAGCGGACCCCGGGCTCCAGGCAGTGCTGCCACTTTGAAAGGCTGAACCGGTGTCTCAAAGGGGCAGCGCCTCACAGCTGATCCCCGGATCAGCTGTGCGGTGCTGCCCTTTGAAGTACCTCTTCTTCCCCCCCTTTGCTGCCTTTATCTGATATAGGCAGCTGGGGGGAGGAAGGGGGAAAACTGACACGTCGACTGACTATTCGATAAGTATTTGCTTATCCGATAGTCAACAGTTGACTATCCTTTAACATTCTTAATCAGAACAAAGGTCCAACTAGCCCAATACCCTGTCTTCCAAACCAAGACAATGCCAGGTGCCCCAGAGGGAATGAACAGAACAGGTCATCATCAAGTGATCCCTTCCCTGTTGTGCATTCCCAACTTTTGGGATCATAACTTAGTGTCATCATTGGATTCACCTGTTAATGTTAGGGGGCATATGCAGGCAAGTCAGGAGGCTATGCTTAGAGAGGTAGTGGGGGGGAGGAGGAAGAGGAAGCTGGAGGGCCCACAACTAAGCAGTGACAAATGGGGGCCCTGGCCTAGTAGATGCAACAGAGAGTAGTATTTGGAGCCCCTGCTGGAGCAGAAGCCACCCTCTGACTCTAGGAACACTGCAGAGGAGCAGGAGGGCAGTCCATTGACACCATCTGATAGTTCAGGACATATCACCAAACAAGTCAGAGCTTTGGGCATGTTAGCTACTGCCAGCCTACAGCAGGGGCTAAGCCAGCCATTAGCACAAAATATACAGACTCATAGATTCTAAAGGTAGAAAGAACCACTGTGATCATGTAGTCCAGTGGAAAGCAACCTGTGCGCCGCATGCAACCCATTGGGGTTCCACCTGTGGCCTACACCACCTCCCCCCGCCAACTTCCCCCATACCTCTCACGCACTGGGGTATTAGAGCTTCACACTTACTCCTCCCCATTCCTCCCAGGACTTTCCAGCACTGTGAATTGGCTAATTTGCAGCGTTCAAGCTCTGGGAGGGAGGGGGGAGAAGTAGGGATGGAGCACAAATGATCTGATTAATTGAATTCCAAAAGTTGAGGCAGGGGGAGTAGTAAATGCAGGTCTCCAGTGCATGAGAGGTGTGGGGGAAGGGAGCAGAGGCAGGTTCAAAGGCTGGAGGTAGAACCCAAAAGGGCAGCAGGCTGTAGGTTACCCATCACTGGATTTGAATCTTAAGGTCCACTGAGATGAAGGAGGGCCACTCAGTGGTCTTGGTTGCCCATCGCTGATCTAGACTGACCTCCTGTATTACACAAGTCAGTTTTCACAAAATAATCCCTAGAACAGATATTTTAGAAAACAAATCCATTCTTAAGCTGTCAGTGATGGAGAATCCACCACAACCCTTGGTAAACTAATCCAATGTTAATTACACTCACTGTTAAAAGTTTACACCTCATTTTCAGTCTGCATTTGTCTAGCTTCAACTTCCAGTCATTGGATTGTGTTATATTTTTCTCAGCTAGATTGAAGAGCCTATTTGTTCCTCATACAGGTACTTATAGACTGTATGACCAGTGATCTCACTATCCTATACCTGCACCATCTACTATGCTTGCAGAGAGGGGCTGAAAGAGAATATTTTATTATTTCTGCTCCTTTTGCTGTATTTCTAAGTACCATGCCAATGCTTAACCTGCTGGCAGGGCAGTATATCCATCCAGGCTGGGACTCTCAACATTGTTAATATCTATGCAATAGAACTTCTATCACAGTATGGGGGGGGGGGGGGGGGGGGGGAATAGGCTGGGTCATGCAACCCAGTATAACCAAAAGTAGTGTTTGGCCCATTTACCTCTTAAGTTACACCACAACTGGGTTCATCTCAAAGGTTTATTCAGGGGTGGGGAACCCTTTTTAGGTCAAGGACCGCTGACTCACAGAAAAATTAATTGGGGGCCTGTCACAGGGCGGCTTCTCTTTTCCCCCTTCCTGGGTCAACTGTCCACCCCGCGCGCTCTACCCTGGGCTGTAGTCTGGCCCAGACTCTAGGGCCTGACGGGCTGCTCAACCAGAACTGGTCATATAGAAATGCTCGCTGGCCCTTAAAACAGGGTCCGCTGGACCACTGGCCAGAGTCAATAAGCAAAGTCAATAGCTGGCCCTTTAAGGCAGGGTCTGCCAATCGGTGGCAACAAGTCACAAGTAGGGGCTACACCCCGGAAGGGGGACCCGGGCCAACGCTACTCCACCGGGTCCCAGCCCAGGGCCCTGTGAGTGGCAGGAGGACTCACCACTCCCTTGGCAGGGAATCCGTCTGAAACACGCCAAGGATTCCGGGTTGGGAGAGGCAGCTCTTGTCCCCTCACTGGACCACTTCCTACCTGTTCTGGCGAGATAGCATCCCACGTGCTCACCAAATCACTGTTTTCCAGGGGGCTGCTTCTCCCTCGTAGACTACAGGGGAGACATCCCAACTGGTGCCCGAGTTCCTGCTGTCTTCCCTCGGATCGGCTGGCTGGTAGCTCCCTTCTGATTGGCTGGCTGGTACTGGTCAGGGGCTCCCCTCTGAGGTCCTTTCCCCCCCAGCAGTCAGCCCACACTGAGCCTCCCTCTGGGCTTTTATAACTGGGCTACAGTCTGAGCATGCTCAGCAGGGTTATGGGGGCAGGGCTTCT